GGCGCAGCTAGGAACAGCATATCTAACTCATTGACGACGACGCCTAATTTTACGTAGCGGCGCTGTGGGACGACGCGAATTGCACAACACTTTCTGCGTGGAAATAAAGTTGTTTTGTAATTAACTACAATCGTCTTCTTGGACGACAAAGTCTACGGGTTCCGGGAGTGCAAAAAACTGGAGAAAATACTGGATTGTGGAGAAGATACTAGATCCGGAAAGGAAAGGATTTCGCAAGGGATGTGGGCCACCGGTGGTACACACCGTCGTCAATGGGTTAAAATCAGCGTCCAAAGCTGGTTTGAAATATATGTGTCTCATCTCAAAACGCGATTCTAACGATAACGTTACCTGGCATCCCTGTTCAGTGCGAAACTTTCTGCAGGTGCTTACAAGAAGTTCAAATTATCCTGAAGATACAAGTGTACAAAGATGTGCTATTTCTTCGATTATTGAGACACTCTTTAAGGATGTCGGACTCGCTAAACAAAAGATTGAGTACTTAAGTGATTTGGAAGATTGGTGCGGAAGTGCGCTAAAACCAAGTAAGTAGTTCTTTACTCTGATAAACACAATCAGCCAATTATCTCATCGCGTGCGAGTGGAGTTAGAATTTGAGATTAGTCTACTGCGGAAGTAACGGCTTGTCTTCTGCTATCTAAGTCGGTGGTAATACGGTCTAAACTCCGAGTTCAAAGCTCCGCGTTAACTCAGAGGTAACCCTGAGTTTCGTTTCTGAAGCTCAGACTCAGAGTCTTACTCATCAAAAGTCTGAGTTCGGCTTTCATACTTCCGAAATCCAACTTCAAGAGGAGTTTCGATTTGCTGTTGGAGGAGCTTAAACGTCGCTTTTGCACGTTACTGCAAAAGCGACGTTTGAGTTGGGACCTGAATCCTGTTTGGTTTAGCGCTATGATCCTATCACTAAACTACTAGGTCAGGATACATCGTTTGTTATAGAATTACTTTGACTTGACGTATGCACTGCACTATAAATTTGTCAAAACATCTTATATCGCAGCCTTACTCATTCTCATTTCTGTCGAAAAGTGGTAGTTTCTCGCACAGATTTGTCTTTTGTGCAGCTGAAGGTCCAAAAACATCGAGGAAACGGATGGCATACGCAATGAAAAGAATGTACTATTCAGATTTGCCCGCAAAATAAACTCTCTGGGCAAAGTTTGGCCCCGATTTGTGAGTTTGGCTTTTTTACCGTATATCCACCGTAACCCAGCCAGGTGGCACCACCGCATAAAAGGCTCTGTAAACTTGTGGGCAGCACGCCGAAATCACCTGAACAAATTCAAACCATATCTGTATTTTATCCCAGTTGCCGTACATGTACCGTAATTGCTCCAAATGGCACCGCTGTACGTAGTAAATAGACTGTCCGTGGTGCGGACGCCGAATCTCCAGTGTACCAAGTTTCAGCCAATTCTGACACTTTCTCTTGTCCGCCGCTAACCTATCGTAACCTCGTCAGATGTCATGGCAGCATAAAATGAATGCTATATTCGTGCTTGGCGCAGCGGATAACCTCACTGGTCAAGTTTCGGTTAGATTTTGTGATTTTCTCCTGTCTACCGTATCTAACTTATCGTAACCCCGCTATATGACCTCACGGATAAATATGAATGCCTAATTCGTGTTCAGGGCACCGAATAACGCCTTTAACCAAGATTTTACAAACTTTTGAAATTTCGTAAATAACAGTGCATCCATCCCCCCACAACGCTTGCTGAAACTACGCGCAAAATGTACTCCGGAGGACTTCTCAGCTGTCCGCTCTTCTTTTGCGCACTATTTCTTTTTCTCTGACCAACTCAGAGTTATTTCTGAGTTCCACGATAGAATGCTCACCAAGCTCAGAGTTATCGCAGAGCTCAGTTGCGCGTTTAGCGGCGTTGTTTCTTGCGCAGAACGTTTTAGGCAATGTTTCCCTACTAGGGTTAAACTACCGGTTCCTAAGTATCCTGCCGTATCAACACTTTCCAGATTTGGTCTATTCGAGCAGCTATAAAGAAGGTCAAAATGTGCGCGTTAGCTCAGAGATGACTGAGAGTTTACTCACAGATGACTGGGAGTCACCTCAGAGTTACGACTGTGAGTCAGGCTTACTACCGACCCTGGAATAGTAGCACACAGAGGTGCTTGTGCAGGCTGTGGCTTGTGCGATTGAATACATATAGGCTGCTGCATGACGAAGGCGCAATAACCTCGGGGGCGAACGCGGTTTTATTGGCTGCGGAGCGCATAAGGCGCAGGATCTACAACGGTGAAGATACGCGCGCGTCGCTTTCGCGCCCGCTCAACCATATTGCTTCTGTGCCTTCGTCCTGTAGTAGCCTGTACATATACATATAATAATCGTAGCAAGATTATGTTCTGGAGCTGGAAGGAAACGTTTAAAAGTTACTTTGAACGGCTAATGATTGAATGAGGCACGCTAAGCAAGTTTTCGAAAAGCCATTGCTTTAGATTTAAGATTCTGCACAATTTCGAATGACAACGAGGTGAACGTAAGTCGGTCAAAGTCAAGTTCTAATTCGCGAGACAAGTTAACGTTGCAAAAGGTGCTTCCTTACAGACCCCCTCCCCCCTAATGGCCTGTGCAAAATCTTTCTTACAAGATGGTACAGAGCCCGCTGTACATGTCACTTTTCAAGCTCTGCACTGAGCATGGAAAAAATCCTAAATACGAAAGTCCTTGCTTGGGGATGCTTTCAATGACACCATAATCGTTGTTCTCACTGGCGTATCAAACTACCATGCGAAAATTTTTTTTCAATATTCAAGACCAGACGATAGACTCAACCTCCGTGAGTGACCTGGCCATTACGCACAGCAACAATCCAACATTATCGACAAAAAGAGACACGGTGAGTTTGTTTGAAGTTGGCAAATGTCTTTCATTCGACATACAACTCACTCTTTGACAATCTTATATATAAAGCTGAATGTCTGTTTGTCTGTCTGTCTGTCTGTATGCCTGTATGTATGTCTGTCTGTACGTGTGTTCCGAATAGAGAATTCCATTTCTGAACCGATCCGGACCAAACTTGGCACACATACACTTCGGGCCCCGGCGTGTCATAGACTACTTTTCGTCATCGATCGATATCGATTTTATCAATTTTTATCGATTTTTTGCAAAGTTCACCTACTGGGCTGGGAGTTGGCACAGGAGGGTAAGTGAGCATGGGGATTCAGAATACAGTATTAGTTTTCAGAATTACCTGTTACTTTTATCGATTTTATCGATTTTTGCAAAGTTTGAGCTACGGGGTTGGGGGTCGGCGAGGAAGGTAGGTGAGCATGCTGATTACTAACACAGCGGGAGTGGGGAATTGCACGTAGAAAGTGGGCACAGGTAAAGATGTACAGGGATAGAAATGGAAGCTTCATCATTTTTGACAGGGCCGGGCGGAGCCGGGTAAGCCAGCTAGTCGACAATGAATCCAGAATCTCTAAAATCATGTATCAAGCACAGCATGTGTCTATGGCAAGCCCGCATGTGCGGTCTTAGGGCAAAATCGTCCAATTGGGCGATTTTGCTGCCATGCAGTGCATCTGCTAGCCCTTGTTCTGCTTTAACGAATTCTTTCGTTCCTCATTCTGATTAGAAAATTCGGAACATGGTGCGTTCACTGGTTTAAGAAGAAAAGATATCCATTTCCGACAACTGTGCTTGGGTCAATTCCTCAGTAGGTCAGGGGAGACGGTCGAATGGCGCGTATTGATCGATAGTCATTAACTGGGAGAAGCAAGAGATAAGTTCAAATTTATTTCAATACTTTCCGATTTCAACTGGTTATCCTCCATTACACTTTCTGATGTACTACCAGAAGTCTTGGAATCTGGAAACCTCGCTGTTGTAGAGAACTGATCTAGTCTGGAAATGAAGGCTTAGGGAACGCGCGCCTTTCGACATACACCCAGTGGGTCAGAGTGCTTTAGAACAGTTCAGGAAATCTGTAACGTGTAGAGAAGACCTGACAGACATTTCAAAAATACTGAAAAGTTCCAAAATTCTCCTCGCAAGTTTGAAAACGTATCTCCTTTTCGACGTTGACCGGGGCATCTGAAGGCACTTTCTAGAGAGTGCCATTTTAGGAATAGGCAAACAACTTTGTTCCGTTGGTTACAGAATATCTTTTACGAACTTACTCGCTTGTTCAAAATTTCAAGATATGACGGCCGAGACAAAACGAGTCCGCGAGGCGATGCTTGCAAAACAATTTTCTGAAAACCTTTGTAATTGGTTTCAAATAATTGGTGAGAAGAAGGGCCACAGAAACAGTAACAGTAGCGGCTGTTGTTTTGTCTGATGTCAAGTTTTTCGAATGATGGATGAACTTCTTTGATGAAAAGAAGAAGAAAAAGAGAAAAAAAGGGCAAATTCAGTATAGTTGCGTTTTTGGATTTTTTGCTTTGAAATCGACTTCATAATATTCTCAAAAATCAAAAAAAAAATTGAAATATACTTTCTGGCTAGTGGAAGTACATTAAACTGACCGGGCACTTGAACGGGCAGTCTTCTGAATATTCAACTAGCCATCTTGAGGCATGGGAAAATGGCCTAGTTTAACTTAGGATGTTCTTATACGGGGTCATCACAGTTTAACTGAGCCGACTGGGAGTTTACTACAAGCCAATATCTTATAACAACCGTATGGCCGGATGGTATGACTACAGTGCTACTCTTAAACATACGGCTTTTTCTACAGTATTCAGCTCACTTGTCGCTCTGAAATAAAAGTACTTTTTGCTTCTCGTCGATTGCGTCTTTTTGGTCAGTGGTGGATAATCTTGTGATGTATACTTAAGAAATGCTAAAGCTGTGCTTGCAAAGCTGTTTTGCAAAAACCTATGTCCAGTGCTGCTGAGTAGTACGTGCTGTTCTCAAGAACTATCTTCAAACAAAGAAAACCGAATCGTTGTAGCGGACATATTACGAATTTGATGTATACAGCTATTAAGGTATTAATAGTCATCAACAATGGCCTTGGCGGCAAAGCCTTGGAATTTTGCAAAGAATTCACGAGCCATATTTCGGTCTGACTATCTATTGCGGAACATTTGATGAAAATGGCTTAGAGGACGAAGGTAATTTTGAGAGAAAAAAGCTGTCAATGCACAAAAAAATATAAATCATCTTTGAGGTTACCCGCCAACTGTGGAAGGCTTTAGCTTCGTAAACGTGCATCCAAAGGAGTTGGTGAATGGTCTTTATTTATATTTCTGCTTGACGAAAGTAGTAGAGATGAGACTGCACAATGTCAAAGGTGTATATTGCCGAGATAGAGCATGATACAATCGAGATTTGAAGGGTACTTCGTCACCTCCGACGATCTAGTCTTCAATTTCTGGCACAATATAAGTCTAGACACTGTATATCATCCTCTAGGCATCGTAAGGCGTGAAAAAAGAGGCTGGTACAATAGCAACGCAGGTGATTTTCAAATTCGCTGATGCAGTGTTGTGTCCTTTTACGAATTTTGCATTAACACTGCTTTGTTTTTCAAGCATTTCCTTCACTGGGCAAGAAAATGTTCGAGAATTATAGGTGCAGCAGCATTGCAAAGGACTGTGGACTTGTTAACAAAACGATACAGAAATATTTCGACAGTGCAAAACATTCGCAGGCAATACGAAGAGAAGGCAAAATATTGACAATTTTTGGTTTTGTTTCAGGGTTGAAGATAGTATTTCACAGCATTGAGGTATCTCTCAAGTATACTGTTTAGATTCTCACTTATCAAAACACCACAGATGCACTTGATTACCTATTGGCAAGAAATGGCGGTGAACCCAGCGACTTGTAAGCTGTAGATTTTTGGATTCCGAAATTCGGACGTGGTTGGCTTTGAGCAAACACCTTAACCTTGTTGCAAAATGCAAACAGTTTCGTCTAACACATCGAGGAAAAATTTCAAATAACACCACTTCGTTTCCGGTCTTGGATGCCTTTTCGAGTTTTCACAATCAGTGTGTTATCTTTGGCTAACATTGAAAGTCTTTGCTAATCTCTTGTGTCGAATCTACCCCAAAAGTGTCCCGGTAGAAGCAAGTTTCAGTAGAAATGTTTGCATTGTTATTGCTTTTTTGACATTGATCAATTCAATCTTTTTATCAGTAAAATTGTGTTTTAAAGTGAGCTTTTTTTGTATCAGTCACAGTTCCTTTGGGATAGTAGGTCCTAAGAAACTATTTGTGTTGAAATACCTTGAGTTCGCGGCCACATAGTGGCAGCCTCAACTGTCTGCTGACTCCTTTAAAGAGGCAGTCTCCACGGCGGAAGCTGTTCAAAGGTATTATCGAGGTGTTCAATAAATATTAGGTTGTCCCAAAAGTAAACCGTATTTTTGCATAAATCAAACTGTTCTTGTTTTCCTGGCAGACTTGGGGCACCATTCGAAAGAGCGAAGCAAGCTCTACCATATGACCACCAAAAAACCGTCTAAGTCGCTATCCAGGTAAAATTTGGATTCAAAAATCAAAAATTTTCAGTTACCCTAAAAATCAAATCTCCTTCCAGAAATTTCCTACGGACTTCCAACTTGGTCCTTATATAATAGACACATAGTAGTATCGAAAAATGTTTTTGGTTGATTTCTATCGGCGTTCAAAATTGAGAAACAAAGGGGTCATAAAATGCCAAAATGCCACTTCTTTCAGGTTTTTCATGTAAAACTCGGTATTTCTCAACTATAAGAGCATATGCAGGGGTCAAGTTTTGAGGTTATACTTAGTAAGGCTTGTAGTATACAATGACATATGTGGGAGGGGCTGGGGGCGGAGTTTGCCATTTTTGGACAATTTTTGTTTCTCGCTTTCTATACTCGGAAAAAATTCGGCAAAAGCACATTTGAGTACTACTATGTGCCTACTGCATAATGACCAAGTTGGAGGTCCGTAGGATTTTTCCTCGCGAAAATCCAATTTTCAGGTAATAAATTTTTTTTCGATTTTGGCTTCAAACTTTACATGGAATGCGACTTAGGCGGATCCTTGGTGGTCATTTTGCAGAGCTTGCGTCGCTCTATTGAATGGTACCCCAAGTCTGCCAGGAAAACAAAAATAGTTTGATTTATTCAAAAATACGGTTTACTTTTGGGACAACCTAATATAATACTAAATCCACTGATTTGGGTGTTTGAATGCGAGTTTATGGCTACGTTCATACTGGTCTGAGAGTCCGGCAACAGTTTCAGCACAACGCTCGAACTGAGCGCTACTGCTGAAACCGTTCCCGGTGCTGATGATTCCTGTATCATCAATCATTGATGAACTCTATATGCTGCATAGCCTACGGAGTCCCCGTAGGCTAAATGGTGAGCTACTCACTACTCACTGAGTCACTCTTGAGTATCTAATCACTCAAGAGTGAGTGGTACCCGTGCGCCAGCAGTGTAGCCAATCGGCGGCATCTCCTTTCAAGCACCAACTCGTGTACATTGTACCCTGTATTGGGTTCAGCTCCGCCTTCCTTCGTATATAAGGAGCCTCCGAATGTATTAGAGGTTCCTCCTCGGTTAACACCGGGCACCTCGACATCGCTCTCAACTAATCTACGCCAGTGTGAATAAACATTCCACACAACTTCGTCTACCCTACTTCACTTGGTACACACCAAATTGGTGCAAAGGGATTCAGTTTGCAGTGAAGTTGTGGAAGTCCAGTGAACTTCCTTGCATTTCCCCTCGAAAATCAAGGCCTACAAGACCCGCGTGGCAGGACACCGAATATTGAACCTCTCGTTGCGCGCTCTTTTCGTAAGAGACCCGAGAGTAGTAAAAAAAAAACAGTTGTTGAGCAACACCACTGAATATTGAAACCCTCGTTGCGCGCTCTTTTCGTAAGAGACCCGATGGCTAAAGAAAACAGTTGGTTCCACAACTCCACTGCAAACTGAATCCCTTTCGCGAGCTCTTTTCGTGGGAGACCAGAGGGTAGTAAAGGACCAGCTAGCAGTAGCTAATCACTCAATTTCTGAAAACTTCCTTTGCGCGCTCTTTTCGTAAGAGACCAGGGAGTGGGAAGAATTTTGTGCAGCAAACACCACCACAATTTGTGAAACTCTTTTCGCGCGTCCTTTTCGTAAGGAACCAGAGAGTGAATAAGTTTGTGTGTGCACTTCAAATCTCTCAAATCTCTTCGCGCGTCCTGAAAAGGAACCAGAGCTAGAAAAAAGAGATTTCAACGGAAGAAAGAACAAGTCAAGAACCAAAAAATATTACTTGTTAAGCTTCGAAGTTCCACCAAGAACTCAAGCTCTCAATCCCCAAGGTACAGGTTCAACACACCTTACCGTCCAGCACAGCGTTCAAGCCAACCAGGCACGCTTGCTGACAGCTAGTAGAAGCCCGGCACTCAATTGCCAGCTCACTAAACGACTTCCTTGCATCCAGTAAGGACAGTTTGCATACTAGATCAGCCCTGCTGAAAACACAGAAGCTACATCGAAGCCCCAGCTTTCTGTGAACCAAGAAAAAGATAAAAGAAGAGACAAGGAGCATCAAAAGATGACGTCACTCCAACTTTTCAAGATCAGGATTAACAACGCCTGCAAACTCGTGAAATCCCACGAGTCACAAATCGACACTATCGATATTCCCTTCACATTCCCCACACTAAAAGATGAATGTGAAAAGTACATAAAAGAGAAAACGGGATTGATAACCAATCTTCTCAACTCTCTATAAAACGCTGTGAAGCTTCAAGAAACGCAGATTAACTTCGCAATTGAGTACATCAGCGCACGAAATGAGGAAAAAGAAAGAGAGAAGTTGATGATGAAGCTCAGCAAGCACTTAGAACTGGAGTCACTTGATCTAGAAGTGATTGTAGTGCAATGGCGGACAAGGATAGAATTCCGGCAGCATGATCTGAAAGAACAAGGCGCACTTCTGCACTGCGATGCTCCAAGCATACCGAGTCAACCAAGCAGTGATAATGGACAAGCTTGGATCCCGGGCCGCAACAAAAGGGAGATCAAAATACGAAAACCTCTGCTTGAAATACCTACGTTCTCCGGAAACTTCAGAGAGTTCAACAGCTTCTGGACAGTATTCGAATCCCTCATCCACAATGACGAGGAAATATCCGACACGGACAAATTCTTGTTCCTGAAACAAGCCCTGAAAGGAAAAGCAGCAGCAACTTTGAGCTGCATACCCGTCGTTGGAAAAAGATATCAGACAGCGATAGATATCTTGAAGAAACATTTCGATCGCTCTGCCAACATGGCGGACATACTCATAAACGAGATCGAAAAACTACCCAGGGCCTCAGATGATCCGGAAAGTTGTCGAGACACCTTCGAAGCCATCTACTCGAGGATCATTCACCTGGAACAAACGGGAACGAAGATGAACGCAGACAGAAATTGGTGCCGAATAATCTTCTCCAAGTTTCCCGAAGCCATATGTGCGACTGCCATTCAAAAGGAAGCTGTACAAAATGGTTCATTTGACGTTAGCGAAATCCTAAACGCTATCGACAACATCATATCATTGCGAGAGACAATCTTGTTAACTACGGAAACTCTCTTTCCAACCGACTACCACTCGAAGAACCAAGAAAATGAAAGGATTACCAGATGCGAAGGAAAAGAACACCTTTCAAAACCAAGACGCTTGTGTTTATGTGGACAACCACATTCGCCATATACCTGCCAGAGATACACCACTCCAGAAGCTCGACGACTTGAAGCAACAAACCAAGGAGCGTGCTGGAGATGTTTCGTAAGAAACCACGACTCAAACGCTTGTACGAATATTGGTGTATGCCCTAAATGCCAGGGATCGCACCACGGATCTCTTTGCATGCCAGAAGAAAGACAACGCAACGGATTTTTCGCACAATCCCGCGATCCTGCAGATCGACGATCATCAACATTCACCTCCTTGGACACAACGTGACACCAACCAAGATTGTCGCGAGATTAGTAACATGCACGTCGTACAAGGCTCGGAGAATAAACAAGGAGTCCACATCTCAGACGTACTTCCACTTGCGCACAATCAGTGCGTTCTTCAAATCGCCTCAGCATTGATTTTCAATGAAGCAGAGTGGGACTACCAACCAACGACCATACTTCTTGACTCCGGGGCGCAACGAAGCTTCATCAAAGCAAGACTTTGTGAAGCACTCAAGCTTCCGATCGCTCGAACTACTTCTTTCACTACATCAGGAATGGGCGAACATCAAGAGAAATTCAACTCACCTGAAGTGCACATCGCCTTGAAGAGCCTTCACAGCTCCGAGAAGCTCAAGAAGTTGTCATTGCATACAAAGCAGAAGCTGATTACCGATATGCAGACGGCAAGCCTCATGGAGGCAGACTTGCGTTTCATCGAAGACGGAAAGCTGATGATTGCTCAGGATACGCTCTCTCACAAAAGCCTTCTACCGGACCTGATCATCGGGCAAGACCTCATAAATCTTGTCATTCGAAATGAGACAGTGCTCACGGTCCCCTCAGGGCTCATTTTGACCCCAACAATCTTCGGATACGTCATATTAGGAACAAGTCGCACCGCCATTACAGCAAGATCCGTTGGTACCTTCGGTTGCATATCAACGCTACAGGAAACATCTCCGCCAACAATACTACAACAGTTCCTTTCATCTAAAGGAAGACAACCCAGAAAAATGGAAGAACCCAACCCAGAAGATGGAAGCTCTGAGGCAGATGCTCAGAGCTTCCATCTTCCGTGAAGCTCAAGCAGACAGACAACATTGGCTGAACACAATCCGTTCCCTATCAAACTCTTCCGATGGCTCTGCGATGATGTCGAATGAAATGACCACCACCTCGTCGTACCTTAGGAAGCAAGCAGAAACAAGGATGACGAAGGGCAGACATCACAGAAGTTCAAGCCTTATCAAAGCGGCGCCTACCGAGAATATGACCGTCAATAATGCTTCTGCTATCAATTCAAAATCAATGACGAAGAGGAAAAGGCGACGACGACGAGCAATGCCAAAACGAAATTCGCCTCCATCAACCACCTCAACTGATCATACCATTGTGCAAATATTATGAATTGAATTAATTTCGTGTTAATGTTTACATTATTTGCAGCTCTTATTCATAGATCGTTATTCTGTATACATAGGTTTCACTAACCTGCTAGTCAACTTCACATATGTCTAAACTTAGCAAGATCTTACCAGATCTCACTTTCCTCTCGCTCGCCCGGAGTGTTGATGATTTCTGTATCATCAACCATTGATGAACTCTATTTTCTGCATAGCCTACGGATTCCAGTAGGCTAAATGATGAGCTACTCACTCTTGAGTATCTAACCACTCAAGATTGAGTGGTATCCGTGCGCCAGGAGTGTAGCCAGTCGGCGGTATCTCCTTTCAAGCACCAACTCGTGTACATTGTACCCTGTATTCGGTTCAGCTCCGCCTTCCTTCGTATATAAGGAGCCTCCGAATGTATTAGAGGTTTCTCCCCGGTTAACACCGGGACACCTCGACATCGCTCTCACTTTTGGGATCTACGTCCTGTGCGAATAAATCTATATTCCACTTCGTCTACCCCATTCGCTTGGTACACACCAAATTGACTTCGGAATCAGTATGAATGCAGCCTATGAGCATGGTATATCCAGCTCCCTAAATTACTATCTGTGGTGGGACTGACAGCGTTGCAGACTGAGAAATTTCAATGCGACTGTTTCTGCACTATCCTTATGAGAGGAAACCTATGCGAGTGCGAGTACAGTGTTACTGTTTGTTACTCAATGATTTCGATAGCCTGTGCATTATCGCGTTCTGCAGACAGCAATTGGCTAAAAAATAGTCATTTGAATGTAAAACCGCAGATAGTTTTCACTTAAGCAGAGATATCTAGAATATCGAAGCCATTCGCTTACCTTACTTCATGGAGACTTCAACACACTAAGAGCATGGTGATAACCAAGATAAGAAGATTTCAGTTTTTACATTCCAACTGCGAAAATTGACTTCTTTGTCGATCTCATGCGAATCTTCTTTGAAGCTGGAGTGTTTGTAGAAATCGCCGTGCTCAAATATCTTGCTGCCATCGAGCATGTCGTGTAAGCACATAGACCTTTCTTGACACTATAAGTAAAAGATGAATTCAGGGCACCACAAGAGAAAGTGATTGCTCGTCACGAGTTGGGTGGCGATCCCTCAGCAATCTACCACAGTGATCTCATCATGTTGCATCCATTCAAACAGAGCTATTTGAGAAATCAAACCATCAAGCAAGGGTTAGCATCTATATTTCTGAAAAATACTAGAGGCAATAGATTGCAAAAACTCATCCTGCAGCATTTTAGGTACTGCACCACGGTAGTGCGAACATTCAGAGAAATGCTTTTGAAAGTATGACTGATATGGTCCGGGATCTGCGTACAACGAAGATCTTGCGCATGTCATTCTTTACATATATCTGTTCATACTTCTATGATGATGCACAAGTATTTGGCTCACTTACAAGCATCTGAAGTATGCTGCTAGTAGGTTGTAGTCAAATTTTGATGCTATGGTTGCACTGGATGCTATGGAAGTAAGGTTTTGTCAAATTGGCTTTATTTGAATGACGATTGCATCAGATTGTTAATTTCGTAATGGTTTCATGTTTAATGTTTGAAATGGGTGTTTACTATTGACTTACTGGTACCTTTGATTGTGCACTGTGTGCATTGATAAATGAATAAAATATGTAAGACTTACTTTGAATCGTGTGTGTTTGTACGTCCGTTAAACATCATTTGGATGTAATGATAAATGCCTACTCTCCACTCGTTGTTCCAAACCGATATAACAAATGTCATTTTTTCGGCGACTTGTTGAGCTCTTCTATCGCTTGACAATTCTCAGCACTTTTTGAGAGGTCAATTGTCGATAATTGATATTATCATAACTTTTACTTTCTCTAAGTTTACAAAAACTCTCTGGTACAAAATGACACGGCGGGGACTAACAATAAGTGGGGAGGTGGCGCAGATACACGACTCGATGCCATAACTAAACGGTACCAATGAGTGCTGGCGAAAGCAGCCTCTTACTGGTAAATGTCGCAGAGGACAAAGCTTCGCGGAATTTCCGCGCAGGCTGTGGGTCATGTCAGACCTGCTCCTTTCTTCGTGCTTGAGGAGAATACTAAGATGGAGGCAGCTGCTGAAATATATCAGGGTGTCTCATAATTTTTTACCGTCAAACAAAACACAATCTAAACATCAGCATTTCTCGAAAACTGGAACAAATTCAAATTTAAAAAATACGTGGTCGTATTTCTGTATGTATGAGCTATATGACTACACGCGTGGGAGGAGCTCAGGATGTCTAAGGGAGGAATTTGCCGTTTTACCCCATTCAATTTTTTCCTTATTTCTAGCCATGGAAGAAACCGGAAATACTACAGTTGAATAGACGATATATCATGCTTATGCTAGGATAAATGTGGAATTTTTAAGGTATTTTGAAGCGGAGATACGATCTTTGAAGGGAAAGTTTGTTTTTGACTGCTATCAGATTTCAGCTCAAAACTTCCGGTAAAGTACGATTTGGGCGGGTTTTTCGTAATCGTCTTGTAGAGCTTGCTTTGCCCTGTCGAATATTAATGCCACATTCAAAGGGAAAATACAAAGACGATGGTTATAGCAAAAACAGGGAAAAAATTATAGAACACCCTAATAGTTGCTTTTTGCCATCGTATGGCATCGAGGTATAGACCAGGGCACGGCATGCTTTGCTTTGGAGCAATTTTGAAAACCTTCTTAGATTCCACTTGGAAAGCAACCCAAAACCGTGAAATTTTCTCATATGAAAATGTTTTCAATTGTGTGAGCAACAGCGGTGCTTAGATTGCTTGATTTTTGAGCGAATTAAGAGATCGAGAATAACCAGTAGCAAATGTTCCAGAGGTTAACATATCAAATTGAGTGAGGAAGAAACAGAAGCTATAGACGAAACGAGATCTAGAGAAGTTGAGCTGTAAGCAATGCAATTCGTAAATAGCTAGATAAACAGAAATTCGGAATTTGCATGGACTTCGCTAGTAGAATCGATTGACTTGCAGAATACGACTGTCATATTGTCCCGCGGAAAACCTTATTCATTTTCCGAGGCTGCTCATTCAACCTTACGGCGCTCAACGCAGTTTCATCCGAGCCAATGATATGGATCGGATCATTCGGTAGATCTGACAAAAGAACATTTTCAAATCTGTGCAGATTCGGTCGAATGGAGAGATTTTTTCGATTTAGGCAGTAGAGCCATGCTTCGGGTTAGTCTCCATCTCGCTGCATCGCAGGGCATTTTCATTAGCAACCACTATAGGAAAGTCAATGCTACCACTTTCATAAATTCCGCTTAGCTTGGAGATAAAGCACAATCATGGTTTTCAAATGAATTTCTCTAAAAAGTTATTATTTCTTATGCCCGATAGTATAAATGGCTGTTCATGTTTGTGAATCACTTTAGATGTTGCATCAGGTTTTGATAATACTACGAAAACCGCTTCTCATTACTGTGAAATAACGATAGAAGATTTAGGATAGGGTTTTTATTTCACAACGAGAGCCGAAATTTGCCTCTCAAAAAACGAGAAGAAAGGTGGAAGCGCTTCGTCCCTAGGTTAACTAGCATTGCTAGATCGTGTAAAAAGTTTTCGTTCTACGTAATTTTTAGCACAGAAAGTTACGACAGGTACACCATAGCAGCGATTCTCCCAACAATTGCAGAATTTATGATTGTGCCGCTGTGCTTTACAGAGGTACATTGAAAATTTACTATTAGAGCTATTTTAGAGAATGTATCACGAAAGTTCTCGAATGTTCTGTATTTTTGTTGTGGTAGCGGATTTGCGATGATGTAAGTGCTTGCCGTAATCTCGCAGTGAATAAAAGCGATGTGTGATTCGTTATGCATTGTATGTGATTCGTTATGCATTGTAAGCATTAGTCAAAGCCTTCCTCGCAGAATGCTGGTGATACAGGAAAGTTATTAACGACTAGCTGGTAAACCCAGCTCCGCCCGGCTCTGTCAATAACATATTCATAATCAGATGCTCACTTACCCCTGTGTCAGCTCCCATCCCCCAGGTCGAAATTTGCAAAGAAATCGGTAAAAATCCATAAAATCAATACTGGTCGAGGACGGAAGGCAGCCTACGGCACCCACCCGCCCCGAAATGTATGTATGTGAAGTTTATTCCAGATCGGTTTAGTAAATATCTCTTTTTGAGACACACGTACACAACACACGACAGACATACAGACAAAGAGACATTCAGCTTTATTTATACAGTTCGAAGCACCAGGGCAATATTTGCAGAAAAGTTGAACTGCAATGAGAAAACTCGTAAAAACAAATAAAGTTCGCCTTGCTCATTTTTTCCTTGCTTTCTTTAACCCTTTAGGACCTGACTTTTTCCCAGTAAGAGAGAGAACTGCTCACCTACTGCTTATGATAGGGTAGCGTTTGAATAACAATACAGCGAAGTTTGGAACTTTTTCGACAACAAGGCGTTTTTATTTTTAGTTTTTTCAACCTTCATTCAATTTTCTGATTTTTTCCAACAAAGATGAAATCGCGTACTCATAGCAGATGTGCTCGCGTGACATCATACTCCACACTTCAGTTAATAGTTTAAATTCATTCCAACTATCAGGGGAAATAATTGATATTTTTTTCAGCAGATGCTGCGGCAGACAACCGTTATCGATTTTTCGTCACTCGGTTGCGCACAAAGATTCCTTCATTGCTAGTACCACCATGGATGAAATGGGGCTTGCAAATCACTGTTAGGAAGGCAAAGGTTGTCTGAAGCTACCTATAGCAATAAGAAGTGGAAATCTGCTGTTGCGCCAGTAACAATGCCCTCTGAAGTTGATGGTGGCAATCACCACCACCAGGTCCCAAAGGGTTAAGCTTTTTGCACTTTTGCCTCCATTCCGAATGTTCAGCGATTCATAGAAGCAGTCACTTGCTTGCACTATATTTCAGGTTGATGTAAACTCAATGCTTCCTTATCCTAAAGAACTGGCAGATACATTATTTGGTAGAGAAAAGCAGGGCTCTACAGGATGTTTTTGAAACAGCGCAGAAAAATTGATTTAGTGAAGTCCGTGGAAAATCTGGAAATTTTCTGCTCAGAAAACTGATTTCCAGATCCTGCAAATCTCAACTTGGTCAGGCATAACTATACACATGAAGTACTCATATGTACGCTTGCCGCGTTTTTCTCCTATGTGGAACTTGATTTGAAAAACTGGAATCTATACAATGATATTATGCAAATAAGGTTTGCAACTTGTTCCATGACTTTTCTGTTTTTGGAATTTATACGAACTCTTCGCGTTTGTATCCACAGCGCCGCGCACAAAGAACGGATGCCTTGCTCGTCCGATCAGCAGTGTTTTTCACAGCTTATGTTTATGTTTATGCTTATCAGTGGGCTTATCGGTAGATTCTTGATCGTACTGGTAATTGTTTATGTTGTATCGGGTATATAAGTAGAGGATATAAGTTAGCTGCCATGCTTGCCTTTAGTCGCTTTAGGTTCTTTTGATTTATTATTTATTTCCTGCTTTCTCTCTCTGGCTTCACAGCTTCACAGTTCCACAGACTCTATCACAGTGTCACAGACTCTATCACAGTTCCACAAACTATATCACAGTGTCACAGAATACTTGAATTCCATGATAGTATTTGGTAGTCATAATCGCTTGTGTAGATCGTTTAGCATTAGCACAATAGAGTTTAAATACTCAAGTTTGAGGTGTCGCAGTCAACTGTGCCCGCAACAAGCATCGCAAAGTCCCGCGTGGCAGCATACACGGTACTGAACAATCGTATAAGCGGTGCATAGCAAAAGTCATGTACGATTGCTTTGCACAAGAGTAACGCTTGTACTAACGATAATTGCGCAGTACTCACAGTGGCACAGTGACACAGTGACACAGCAACGCAGTAGCACAGCATTCTAGCACTAAACCACCGACACTCAAGTTCGAAAGATTGCGAACCGGGTACGAAGGCGAAATCGGAGGATCAGCTCCAGCGGAGTTGTCATGGCACAGGAGCCAAACATGGGATTCTCAGATTCCGACCCTCACTTTCCAATGCTTTATCGATATGACATACTTGATGAAGAAATAAACGTACAGATGTTTCGGTAGACTCAAATAGAAGCTGGCTGACGGCGAAATCAAAAACATAAACATCGCCGGTCACTCCGTCGCGCACCTTGCATCGCGCCTGAATATAACACGGTGATAAACAATTAACTCAACCACAGACTGGCAGCCGCGTAAAAGGAAACCATATCACAGAAATAAAGACCCACCAGTGATAGTCGGGCAAATAACGATTCGGTAATAGGC